GGAGGCTGAGGCAGGAGAATGGCGTAAACCCGGGAGGCGGAGCTTGCAGTGAGCTGAGATCCGGCCACTGCACTCCAACCTGGGCGACAGAGCGAGACTCCGTCTCAAAAAAAAAAAAAAAAAGCCCCTTGGGAGCAGGGCACATGCCTGTAATTCCAGCACTTGGGTGGATTGCTTTGAGCTCAGGAGTTTGAGACCAGCCTGGGCAACATGGTGAAACCCCGTCTCTGCAAAAAAGAAAAAAAAAATTATTTGAGCATGGTGACTTGCACCTGTAGTCCCAGCTTTTCAGGAGGCTGAGGTGGGAGTATTGCTCAAGCCTGGGAAGCGGAAGTTACAGTGAATCGAGATTGTGCCACTATACTCCAGCCTGGGGGACAGAGTAAGACCCTGTCTTGAAGAAAAAAAAACGTCTCCTGGACTGAGAGGCAGTCTGACTTGGGAGAGTGATTATGTAATTGTCCAATGGGTTCTTCCTGCCTGCTGCACAGACAAAATCAGTTCACTGAGACTGTGGTGTTACAGTAAAGAAAGAGTTTAATTAACACAGTGCGGGCCATGCAGAAGAACTTAAGCTCAAATCACTCTCCCCGAGGGCTCAGAGGCGAGGGTTTTTCAAGGATGCTTTGGTGGGCAGGGGACTCAGGAATGGGGAATGTTGATTGGTTGGGGATGAAATCATAGGGGTATAGAAAGCGGTCCTCGACAGCCTCTGGATGGAGGCCACAGGACCAGATGTCACGAGTGGTGGGTCTGAGTGGAGTCAATAGCCAGAAATACAGAAAAGCCAATTTTAGATTCTATGTTAGTGATGTTATCTCTGCCAGGTATGATGGTTTACGTCTATAATCCCAGTATTTCAGGAGGCAGAGGTGGGAGGATAGTTTGAGACCTGCCTGGGCAACACAGCAAGACCCAATTTTCCACAAAAAGGAGAAAAAAAGACCATAAAAACCCAAGTAATTGAAAAACGTCACAAAAGGCCAATCTTAAGTGGTACAAGAGTGATGTTATCTATAGGAGTAATTGGGAAAGTTACTCCTGTATCTTGTGATTGCCAGAATGATGACTGGCTATCATTTAACTGGGCCTGTATCTTAGCAAAATTCAAGCTCCTCTCATAACCCTAACCTGGTCCAAGGCTGTCCAGGCTGGTCTTGAACTTCTGTGCTCAAGCGACCCTCCCCCCTCAGCCTCCCAAAGTGCTGGGATTACAGGCATGAACCACCGCACCCAGCCAGCATATATTCATTGTATTTATTTTGCCTTATAGGAAGACCTGAGTTCAAGCAGCCTTCTGCTTGGATGAGGTTGTGACACAAGGGTCTTACCAAAGACCCAGATTCGCTCCATCCCTGTGCTCTTCATCCTTAGGCTGGTAGCAAAATGGTTTTGAGCCTCACACGCAGCATTGACAGAGGAAGAAGAGAGAAGGTTTTTTTCTTTTTTTTGTTTTTTAGAGACGGAGTTTCACTCTTGTCGCCCAGGCTACGGTGCAATGGCGTGACCTTGGCTCACTGCAACCTCTGCCTCCTGGGTTCAAGCGATTCTCCTGCCTCAGCCTCCCGAGTCGCTGGGATTACAGGTGCTCAACACCTAGCTAATTTTTGTTATTTTTAGTAGAGACGGGGTTTTGCCATGTTGGTCAGGCTGGTCTCGAACTCCCAACCTCAGGTGATCTGCCCACCTCAGCCTCTGAAAGTGCCGGGATTACAGGTGTGAGTCACCGCATCCGGCCTTCAAGAAGGTGTCGTTTTTAAAATAG